AAGAAAAAGTGAGAGTGGGAGCAAATTCTAGTTGGACAAAAGTTTAGAACAGTAAGTGGTCCGACAAAGAGAGAGAAGCGTTTTGTAGGCATGGTGTGAGGATGGCCTCGCCATGGGCTCGCCGGCGGTGCAATTCAGTGCTAAGTTCATAATTCCGACGATCTGGTTCTGGTCGGCGGCGGCGCCGGTGATCGCATCATCGATCCACGTGTCAAGATGGCAATCGGAGTAGCAGTAGCGTGCCCATTCTACCAGCCCTTGCCGGTGGCCGGTCAGCTCCGGGTCCGCGGGTCCTTTCCCGGTTAGTAATTGGATCAGAACCAGCCCCAAAGTGTAGACGTTGCTTTTCTCGGTTATATCTCCACTTTCCTTAGCCTCTGCCACATTTTTTTTTCCACAAAGTAGCTTTCTCAATTATACGTGCATATATATGATTGTGCATGTGCATGGATTATATATGTTCATGCAGGTGCTCAAATTTAATGCACAAATTCAAACAGAATTTAAACTTTGACCATTGTGAATAATTGTGATTTATTAACTCAATTATAAAGTCCGGTGGGGGTTTAGCCTTTTAATCCTAAAAGTTAAAAAAGCTCAACAAAAGTTTTTAGTTAAAACTATTAATTTTGGTCTCATATTTCAAAATTTATTCTATTTTAATTCATTTACTTTGAAATGTTTTAAGACAAGATAGAGATAATAATGTAATTAATAGTTTTTAAATTAGAGATATTTCACAACTAAAAAGTAAAAATCATTTAGAAAATTTGAAATTTTATAAAAATAAAATAATACGAAAAAATAACTCAACTATTAAATTTAGAAAAATATTTTGCTTCTTATGGGTAAAGAGCCAATCTAATCTTGACCAATTTATTATTTTTTAAATTTTTTTTTTTTTGTATTTTCTCTCTCAATTGTAAAACATTTATTATAAGGTCTTAAATTTCTCTAAAATGAAATACGTCGAATTGTATTGTACGTACCGGGGGCGTAGTAGTCTGAAGAAATGAAGGTGTTGGACAATCCGATTACGAGGCGTGGTTCGTCGTTTTCATCGACGATGATCTCATCCGGCGAGAGAATGGACGCGATAACGGCCGCAGAGCAGTGGCGGTGCAAAAACTGTAGAGCTCTGGCGATTCCGACGGCGATGTTACGACGCCGTTCCCAGCTTAAATTCCCGACAATTTCAGTCAAACATTGTCCCTCTACGAATTCACGGACCAAGTACCCACCTTTCTCCGATCGACACGTGGCCAGTAATCTCACCACATTTGGGTGCCGGAGCTTCCCCAATTCAGCGATCTCCGACCAGAAGCTCCCGGCCGGAAGTACCGATTTCTCGACGTCTTTCCCATTAATTTTCTCCACGAGAAATTGCATCTCAACCCCGCTTTGATCCGCCTTCGACGCCGACACAATGGCGTCCACCGTCACCAATTTAGACGCTTTGGAATCGAAGAATTTGAGCTCCCATATTCCGTCTTCGTTTTCCACTCTTTTTGTTCCCATCTGATGCTTACGACGTCGTATCAGGACTAACGCGGCA